CACACACACACACACACACACACACACACACACAGCGAGAGACACACAGACACACACACAGTCTCTGTATATCAAGCATGTAAACAGTGTGAGCGCGCTCAGACGGCCCCGCCCTGCTGGAGCTTTAAACAGCGACACGAGCGAGCAGAGGTCAGGGTTTCTTGTGGGTGGAGGAGGGTGGAGACTTCCTGTGAAAGCAGATGGACCTCAGCAAGTGTTTGTGGAAAATCACTTCAGTAGTGCATGCCACGGCAGAGAAACATGAGCATGCACAAGACCGAAAAATGGCCTGTTACCACAGAGGGGCTTCCATGCTTCCTGTCACTCTGGGTTTAACCCCACCCACTTTGCCTCAAAAAAAACAGACCAGAGGGTCATCCAGCTGCTGATGTCAAATTCAGAGATGATTTATCAACTGCACTGAACATCATGAACAATTCAGGGAGATGTGAGGGTAACAATAATAATGCAGATTTATTCACATGTTCATTACCACATCAACTGAATCCTGTGGAGGCAAAGAGATCTGAACCTCTGATTGGATGATTCTATCAGATATTTTCTTAACACCCTTCATCAAAGATTCATCACCATGTTTCCTTTCATTACACTATATGTTTGTTGTAAGGTCAGTGTTAAGAAACATTATATCAGTATCACCAGAGGCCTTGTTTACACCATCTCTGTAAGAACATGTTGGCTTTAGTCATGTATTATTATTTATTAATTACACAATAACCTAGCCTCTACCTGAACCTGTAGATCAGAGTAATAAAGACTTCACTGACTGGCTTATGTGATCAGTGGCAGGCACATTATTGTGTTGTCTGTGTCCCCCTATGTTTGAGGAGCAGTGAGACAGTAAAGCTTGAGGTTTAAGGAGAAGCTGAGAGAAACCTGAGAGCATGAAGTGAAGCTTTCTGCAGACCGAGGACGACAGGAAGCTGGAACGGGAAGTTCCTTTAGCTCATGTTTGGTCATAAAACAACACAGAAAGAGACTAAGCAGAAGCTCAACTCGTCTTCACTGTAGGGGGATGGATGGATGGACAGACAGATGGATGGACAAATGGATGGATAGACAGAAGGACAGATGGAGGGAGGGATGGACATCAGGTTTAAATCTGTGTATTATTGGTTCACAGCATGAGCATGGTCTCACTGTTGAAGTAAAGTTGTCTGTGTTGAACATCCTGCTTCGTTCTCTTTCTGCTGAAACCTAACAGCTCCAGCCAAAAGCCCACCGCAGAGCGTTTCCTGTCAACAATCGCTTCCACATGTTCCCGTTTTCTTTGTGTAAAACAAGCAGAAAAGGCCTCCGGTGGTTTTGGATTCTGTGGTCTTTCACAGTTAAAGGAGTTTGGGGCGAGCTGGGACTCGTGCAGGTGGCTCTTTTATTCTCTCTGAAAGTGTGACGAAGACGATGTCCCTCACAGGCTGCTGTTGATTTGAGTCTACCTGACTGACGTGATTTGTCGCTTTGTGAATAAAGCTCCACTGAACTACAGGTGAGGCTTCTGTGTGTCTCCATGGTTACAGGCATTGGTGGGTGGAGCCTCCTGCTGTGCCTCAGCACGTCAGAGCAGAGCTGTCTGAGGAGGATCTCCTTCTCTCACCTGCAGCATCATCAGACGGTGAGCCCCTTCCGTCCTGTCTGTGTCAACTGACGGCATGGTTGATGACATAACAGCTAAACTGTGTGTGTGCTCAGGTGAACCTGCTGCCTGGGCTGATAGAGGCATTTTCAAACGTAGGTGGAGGTCTGTGTCACTTCTATACACACTTCCAGCTGACAGGTAAGTCTGCAGCAGGTAAATCAAATCAGCTTATTGATCTTGATTAAATGTGATAGATCAGCTGATTGTGGCCTAAGTCGCATGATCTGTGCTCATCCAACATGAGACATTACTGCCAAATAAGAGCACTGCCTGGAACTGAGCTTTAATCTGAAGGTCTCAGCTAACCTCTTGCTGTTTCTCTCAGAGTCTAGTTTACCCATGAACCCTCATGCCTGTGGATCGACCAATCAGAAGGTGGAGATTCCCCTGGACAGGTTTGTATGTGACCAGCTGACAGGAAGTTGTCTGAGTTCTGTAAGGTAACGTTTCCTGTTTCTCTAAAGTTTCCCTGACAGCCAAGCCCCGCCTCCTGCTCTGGTTGCCATGGTCAATGTTTATGTCCTGGTAACCTCAGTGACCCCGCTGACTTCTTTCCTGCATGACATCAGCGTGGTAATGACCATTCAGCATCCGAGGGGCCGACCTGTGAAGGTAAAACATGTTCCTGTGTAGGACTTGCTAACACTTCACTGCTAGCACATCTTCTTTCACTTGCAAATCAGTTTCCCATTGGGGACGATAAATTATCATTGACCACTGCTGTTAGCCTTTAGCTCCTCCTCTTCCTGTCAGCTCAGGGACTTCCTGCTGCAGCACCTTGATCCAGCAGCCTCCCATCAGGCTTTGAGGCAGGTGAAGCAGGTGATAAGTAAAGTGCTGCAGGCGGCTGCAGCGTCGACCAATAAGAAGCAGCGAACCATAAGCAGGTGAATTCTGAACTGAAACTCTTAACTTTACTTCCTGTTTCACAATCCAGATTCAGTACACACCTGTCTGTCTGCAGTTGCTTCAAACTGCAGCTAAAAGTAGGAAGGTAGAAAGAAATGAAGGTAGAAAAGTAGGGAGCGAGTAAGAAAGAAAGGTGGGTAGAAAGGATGGTGCAGTGTCTGGGTGTCTGTTTTGGTTTCAGCTGAAAACTTGAAAATGCCTCAGACTGGATCTGTCATGTCTACTGAGTGTGTGCAGTCTGCGCCCAGTGGTGGCTCATATTGTCACTACTGTGTGTTTCAGGTGTCTGTTGTGCTTCCAGCTGCTCACCTTTACTTTGTTCTTCAGCGGCTCTGTCACACCTGTGGTAGTCCAGGTAAGAGTCTGACCATTATCTTTTCAAGTTCAGCTCAGCCTTGCAGCTGGTCTTCAGAGACGTTCTGCCTCCTCTGGGTGAAAGGTCTCAAACTCATGAAGAAGAGAAGAAGCTTCAAGCCGCTGAGACATCTGGAGGTTGAGTTACATTGGGGTGGGCAACTCCAGGCCATGAGGGCCAGTGTCCTGCAGGTTTTAGATGTATCCTTGATCCAACACAGCTGATTTAAATGGCTAAATTATCTCCTCAACATGTCTTGAAGTTCTCCAGAGGCCTGGTAATGAACTAATCATTTGATTCAGGTGTGTTGATCAAGGGTGATATCTAAAAGCTGCAGGACACCAGCCCTCAAGGCCTAGAGTTGCCCACCCTTGAGTTACATGATGACCCAGCAGAGTCTCTGACTGGACCTGAGAATAACCACACTTTACTGGACCTCAAACATACAACCAGCCTGAGGTGTTCAGGTGAATAACCAGCAGAGGGCGCCTTGACCTCAGCTGCTCTATGATTGGTCTGCCTCTCCTTTTCAGGTGGACACACAGTTAAACGTGTCAGCTCTGAGCAACGATGCCTTCGACCAACAGATCACCAAAGACCTGATCCTGGAGGACACGCTGGACTTCCTGCTGCCGCCACTCTCACACCTGTCCTCACACACACACCTGTCCTCGGAGAGGGAGGGGAGCCAGGTGAGTAGCGTGTTGTCATTAAAGGAGTAGGAGTTTTCCATGTCAGGAAAAAAATTAATGAATAAGTAATAATTAATGAATACTTAATGCAAAAGATAACAATAAATAATCAATAAAATGTGTAGAAAAAGAATAAATATTTTAATAAACTAATAAAAACCGTATTTTTTGAATAATTAACCAAAACGAATAAAATTAAATAAATAAAAGCATTAGAAACACTGAGTTTAAAATGAATTAAAACCGATGAACATCCTACAGACATTTATTTGATTCATAAAAAAAAAAAGATTCTGTTTGTTTTTATTAATAAATGAAAAAATTAAATGTCACCCACCTGACTCTGTGTGTGTGTATGTGTGTCAGTACGGTGGCTGTACAGGGACACTTGGCGTCTGTTTGTCTGAAGACGAGTTTCTTCTTCTGCTGCACTTTCAGTTGCTGATGAAGACCTCATCAGCGTTTCAGCCGGTTAGTTAAGCCCCGCCTCCTTCATCATCTTCTTCTTCAACAGTGTTAACTGTGTGTGTCTGCCTTGTTTGTCCCCACAGCTCTATCCCAGTGTTTCCTCCTCCTCATCCTTGCCTCGTGGCCTCTCTGACCTCCTGACCCAGATCGAAGGTTTCTACAAGCTGAAAACAAACAGGAGCTGCAGGTAAGAGGCTCACAGGTGTGAGATGATCCATTGTGTGTGAACTTAGATGTTCACTGAAGGGTTATGTCTGATGTTCCCACAGGACAGACGAACCGCCCAGTCAGCAACCAGCTCTGTCTTCCTCACAGGACGAAGGTGAGATGTGGATTTTAGACCTGTCCTGACATCTGGAAACATGATGCTGCTCAATCTATACAACCTGTTCTAGGTGTCACAAGGCGACAGGCAATTACACCTGTAGAGGTACGCGGTCTGTCACAGGGCTAACACAGACAGCCATTCACACCCACACCTGTGAGAGAAGCACAGGAAGAATGTGCTCATCGCTGGTCCTGGTACTGCTCATATCTGTCCCACTAATGTAGATATGGACAGACTCACTTGTGCCTCCTGGTGGCGGTAGGACAAATGGCATTTGTTTGCAGATGGAAAAGCATCAGCTCACTGACAGTTATCTGCTTTAACGTACAAGTGGAAGTGAAGCTGTGGTTAGTGGATGCAGTTTGCACAGGTTTTCTGATCCATGCAGCCAAAGTGTGATCACAGCATCCGCAAAGTTTTTTTCTTTAACGGAGTTCCAGCTTCAGCCTTAGAGGATGATGCTTGGTTTCTACCTGAGGAAACAGGAGATGGTTTTACCCCCCAAACAGGTTCAGGGGCTTCCTAGGCGGGACTTGCTCAGTACTCTACTGTGAAAGCTCTGTTCATTAGTGGTGGGTGTCATGGGTGAAGTGAAGTAGAACCTCGAGATCGAACGTCATGCTGATTCTTCTGTTTCAGGTCTCTGTGTGGACCCCCACCTTCGACAGATCTACACAGACCCCCCCCTCATTCTGAACCCCCCGTTCCATCCCCTGGTGAAGGAGTACCACGCAGAGGTGACCTTTGACACCATGACAGTTCGGATCCGGCCGGAGCCTGTCAGCTTGGCCTGCAGGATCCACCTGGATGAACACCGAGGACCCAGGTGAGACCAGGACTGTAAAAACCAACAGGTTACAGCAGAGAAGGTGCAGTCGAGATAGTCCTGAATGAAAGGAACCTCGAAATGTGACATTTGATTGGACAGCATGTTTAAGCAGACAACAGATGTACTTCCTTTATTAGATTCTTTTAACACATTTCTATTGAAGTAAAATCAGAGCATGAACTGCTTTATAGCATTCGCCATTTTGATTTGGGGCATGAAGCAAGCAGCAGCCTACTGACAGCAACCAGCTACTACTACTTCTCTTCTGGGCTTTAACTATGCTGCTAACGTCTGCTGGAGTCATGGTTTGGAAACAGGTGCCATCAAGGGAGGACTCCCTGTCATGCATTAGCATTATGCTGGGCTTTTATAAGGAAAAAGGAAGGGACACAAGAGTTGTTTTATTTCAGTTTAGATTTGTGATCCATGCTGGATTTATGAAACTCAAATAAAATGTGAATCTGGCTTTGTAGCTCCATTTGCTCCTTTTCACAGAGAATAACCTTAGAGCACCTCCTTGCAGCCACTTTTACAACAGCAGGATTAACAAGAAGTTTCTTCCTTCAGGATGGCGAACTACCCGGTTGGCCTCGGCAACAGCAAGATCAGCATCCTGGTGATGGACGGCAGCCACCCGGAGCCTGTTATCATGTCCATCTACACTGTCCACGTTTACAGGGAGAGTCGGCCCAGCCTGCCCATGTTTGGATATCACGTGATGTGCAGCTTTGTGCAGGTAGGAGCTTTTCTGTTAGCTGGTGGACTGCAGGGTGTGTGACATTCATTTCTTCAAACACAAAGTCTCCTTTAAGTTTGTATTTTGCTGTTTCAATGAGGTTGAAGGCATCAGTTATATCCAATGTTCCCTCTAAGCTGCGCGCGTGCGCAATTGCGCACTGCTGGCACGGTCTCTGCGCAGGAAAAATCTGCGTTGCGCACAAAAAAGAAATTCTAACCTGAATTGAAATTAATGTAAATACGTTAACAATTCTGTTTTGCAGTGTTAGTCAGTAAGTGACTGGCTGCTCCCGTATGGGATTAGAACCATTCTCTTATCCCATAGTCCAGCCAATCACGCGATTCACATTCACGTATATACGCAGCTAATCAACGTCATTGACAGGCTATGACAGCGTCCTTATGTGCCGACACCGGTGTTTTAGCTAGCAAAGGGGCGTGGCTGATGTGGAGTGAAGCCACGTTAACAACGTGGACAACCATTGGAGATGTGAGCAGGACAGACGGAACAATTGACGGAAAAAGTGTGGACTTTATACCAGTTTTTAAATTGTGTTGATAGGCCAGGTAAAACCAGAGTTGTGATTAAAAAATATGCAGTGTTTGTTTTTCTTCCTGAATACGATCGTTGTTTATATTTACTGTGGGAATGAACGGTAAAAACGGCATTTTATAAGGAAAACGCTCGAAAGCACTCTCCGCCTGTGAGCAAAAATGAAACCAACACCCCCCTCCCTCCCAGTGTAACCGGTTTCTGCTTCATCCCGCTGCAACAGTTCGGCCCAAACAGACTCCTCGACTCTGCGTTGTGTAGTGTTTTTAAAAAGACAAGGAGTCTCTGATCGATCGTTGCCACTTTATTTCCTGAATGGAAACAACGGTGTTGTATCAGTGCAAATGGCTCGCCACACACCACTCCGCACAGCACACTCTCGTATGGCTACGGCAGACTGGCAGCGATTACTGCAGCAATATTACAATTTTAAATATACAATAAAATAACAGCAACAACAAGTGATGTACCTGAATGGAAACAACGGTGTTGTATCAGTGCAAATGGCTCGCCACACACCACTCCGCACAGCACACTACGGCAGAACATCTCATTAGCATTCCGCTTTAGCATATAGTTTCACACATTAATAAACAAATGAAAAGTACATAAAACTGGTGTTGGACATGTGTCCACTAAGCACTTATTACACTCGGTGCTCGTCAGCTAATCAAACATGTTTTATGTGTCTGTACTACTTAGCTATATTGTGTGCGGAACAATACAACTCACCTCTCGTATGGCTACGGCAGACTGGCAGCGATTACTGCAGCCAGCCTCACCTAACCAGCCACACCGAGAGGGGGGGCGCTGTTTCCCCATTACACTGATATTTGTGGCAAGTGGAATAATACCACATAAACACTGTTACACCAGCCCTTCCCATTGGTCGAAAAATGTACCATGTCGACCAATCAAAACATGGCATTTAGTTGTTAAGAAACGGGAGGAAGTTTTAGGAGTGACGGTGGTTTTGTATGGCGTTATTTTTGTGCCACTATTCTGAGCGCACGTTAAAAAAAAAAATTGAGCGGACATAAAAAAAATTGAGCGCATGTAAAAAAAAAAAAACTGCAGTTGCAAGTGTTGCATTTTGAGGAGAAATCTATTTTTCAGTGAAGAAATACGGTGGCCCTGAGAGGCCAAACGGACTGCAACTTCAGAAAACACTTGCAAAAAGAAAAATGCTGCAAAAAGAAAAA